CTCAATAAAAACTCAAATATAGTTATTTTTTTAAATTTATACAATCCAGCCTTATTCTTTCCTGCTATTATAATTGGCTTCGTTTTAGAGATACTCCATTTTGAAAAATTTGTTTCAAATTAAAGGCCATCCCATGTATCATCAAGAGATTACCCACGTTTTTATTTATTTATTTTTTTTCAAAAAAAGAAAAGAATACGTGTTTCTATTGATTGCTCGCTTGAAGTTCAGAACCACGCTCGATATCCCACCCACATGGCATTGCGCTTCATTTGATAAAAGTAATATTTCAATTATGGCTGACAAGATTAATGGTGGTATATTTCTAGGAAAGACAACATTTTCTTTCATGTCTGTTTTCCACATGATTAGTTGGAAATGTCATACTCCGAATCTCGCTTGAGATTAAGCAACAGTGTTACTTGACAATGATGAAAGTGTTTGAATATGTTTAATTATAATTTAATTTAATCTGTTTCTTTCAAAAACAGTTATTTTTAAAGAGTTGAGTTTTTTTTTCTAATTGGTATTTTTTTTAAAGATTAGAACTCTAAATTTATAATAAAGGGAAGAAAAATACATTTGCCCGCCTGTTTGTTTTCATTATAAATATTCTTAACTTATTTAAAAATAGAAACATTCAAAACATTTTTTAATGAACCTTTTAAGTTCTTTTTTGTGTGCTTGTTTAAAAATTTATTTAATCTAAAAGATTTACTTGCAACACATTTAATATTTAAACAGAATGTTTCTTTTTTTTATTTCCTTTACTTTTACCTTTCTTCGCTTCTTTTTCCTTTATCTTTCTTTTTTTTCTATAATTTTTCCTTTTAAGTAAACAGTTGAAAGATCCTACTTTTTCTTAAACAGAATATCTGTTTTGGGGTAGTTTAATTGCTTTCATAAAATCATGGTCAACCTATTCATAAACTTTTCAAATGCTTCCTTTTAATTCAATTAATTAATTTGTTCCAAAATTGTGTTAATAAAGCTATACGATTGAATGATTTCAATAAGTTTCTTTTAAGGAAGATACAAAAAAGTTAAAATAATAGATGAAAAACTGTATTTAAATATGCAATCGATGTCATATTTAAATGTATTACCATTTTAGATCAAATTGAAAGTACTCATTCTGTATTGTTCTAATTATGGAATTTAGTAATTGTTAAAATGGTACGAACTGTTGGAAAAAGGTCACTTTCGTCTTTACTGTTATTATTATTATATTATATTACGTTATAGTTACAAGTATAATAACTATATTTCACGAGAAAGATTGATTAATGGTTCAGCAGACCTTGAGAAATATGTTTTTGAGAGAAACATGATATATATTATAATAAGAATCTTCGTTGGATAGTACAGACACTGTTAGACTAGATCAAGTTCAAAAATATAGGGAGTTCTTTTATTGAAACTTAGGCAATTTTTTGACGCTGTACTAACAGGTTATATAATAGAAAGAAAATCAAGTTCGAAGGTTTCCAAAAAATACTAAGCTGATTATTATTTTTGAAAAATAAAAGAATTAACAAAAACAAGAGGATGACGAGTCAACAAATAATTTTGTCAGGAAACAACGTGACGATTTACGATACGCAAATCTAAAATATTTGACGAAAATACTTCCCCAGTCGATCATTTTGAAAATTATCTCTATTTTTTACAGTTCAAGACGATGCACTGTTAGTTATTTCTCGGTAAAAATGGTTAAATAGCAATTAAATTGCTATTTCACCATATTCAAACAAAACAGGCAAATAACCATAAATCAGATGGTATTCAAACTGTTAACTGTGAGAGAAATCGTTCATTAATTGCTTTCACCTAATCCGGTTAAACAACTAGATTTTTACCTAGATCTATGGAGCTACTCAGTCCCTTGCAGCGTACATATTATAAACTGCCAATCTTATGACCGACAAAACGGGGGTTCGAGTCCCCAATATTGACACTACAGAGTTTCCTCCAGTCCCTACAACACATGAAGAGTTTCCAGCGTCCTGCACTCCCAAATTTGTGACCCTGGAACATTAGAATGCGATATTTTCATTCACGCATAGATGGTAGCATCATAAAACTGCTTAAAACAAAAAGAGTCTAGTATTTCCCCTTTTTCTTCCGATAGGTGAAACAACCAAATTAACTAATTAAACCAGATTTCACTGCTCATTTGATAAAACACTACTCAATCACAACCTAAATTCAGTGCCCATTACCTAATGAAAATCCTATCTGCAATGTCCAGTTAAAATTCTTTTCAGTGGTTTTGAAACCATGCTGGTTGTAAATGGTTAAAAAAAACTTTACAGTTGCGAATTCACAGCTCTTTTTAACCACATTAGCTATAACCGGATTTAAAACTGTAAAGTTAAAATATGTTCCAACTTTACAATTAATTAGATGGACTGATTGTTGCCGGTTATTTTAACGTAATTTCAGAATTAAAATACTAACAGTGTATTCAACCCTTTGTAAAGATTGCATAAGGGTTAGTATTCCTGCTTGTTAAGCTTATTTCAAGTTAAATGAAATTGTTAAATTCAAAAGACAAATTCAAAGTTAAATTCAAGATAAATTTCTGGAAATGGCAGAGTACTCAGATTCCTTTTATTTTATTTTGTCTTACTTAAGAAATCTTCTAATCTTGTTGCATTAAGTTTAAATGCTTTTTACAAATTTCGTATCTTAAAATAAATATGACAGTAATTTGCTCAGTTTGAGGAAATGTTTTCGGAGCATTTTCCTGGAAACCGTTCCGTGAATTTTGAGAAACCATTTTTCTCAGTCTATCCTAGATATATTTATTAGATACAGAAATATTATGTATTTCTTCTAAGCCATTCTTCTAAGTTGTGAAATTGATTATAAAGCAAAGAAGCATTCAATATATTTTAATGATTAAAATCTAACTTTAGACCTTATATGACTTTGTTAAACTCGTCTAGACTACTCATAAATATTATAAATGGAAGTATTTCGTTGAAAATGCTTTTAAATACTTTTTTTCGATTTTCGTCACTTTTTTCTTTTAATACTTTTTTTCGACTCTTTCTTAAACAGAACTTTCTTTAGAAATTTTTTTTTTACAAAGAATTTGTTTTAATGCATTAATTAGAAGAGCTTTTGTATGTCTTCATAAAGATACGATCTAATTATGACAAATCAACTGCTTTATTTAGTTACTCGTTTTAATGATTAAAATGATGCTCAAAATTTCAAGTGGCATTTTTTACATTACAATAAGGCATACAAACTTTCTTTTCGAATATTTTTTTGGCTTGACTGGAGATAATCTCTTGTTGTTTGGGATTTAGCCATCTGATTTCTATTTTTTGCATTTCATTTTTATCAAAGTATGTATTGAATGAAGAACTACAAGAAACATAAAACACTCAAGTTATAATGACAAATATGACATTTCAAAAATTTTGCCTAGCAAGCGTGCCCAGGAAAAAAAAGATTACAAGATATTTTCACAATTTTTTGATTATGGTGTTTCTGTACCATATGTATCAACCAGGCTAAACATTTTTTTGTTGTTTAATCTTTTGTATAATAGATTTTAAGAAACAAGTGATAATAGTAGATAAAGGCAACAACAGAAATTTTTGCTTTGCAAATTTCAAGCATTAAATTAAAATTGAAATAGTTATAGCTAGACTTGAGGCTTAACATTAAACTTTAAGTAACTGGCCTAAACTGACTATACTCTAATTTTTAAGATAAATGACACAATAATACGAGTTTTGCAATATTTTTCAACCATATTCAATATTTTTAATGTTATATTTTTACGATAAGTTAAAAGGTTTCTTACAAGTTACAATTCTTAAAATATTTGATTTTCAATTTTATCTAATCGAGTGGAAAGATAAATTTTTAATAATATTAAATTCCAATTTTCTCGAAAAGTGAAGTTTATTAAAAAAAAGTTTTACTTTACTAAAAATTTTATTTCATTATTAGCAGCAATATTATTTATTCAACATAATGAATAATATCATTTTAATAAATGAATTCATGCTGGGAAACGGTTTTCTCAAAAACGAAGAAAGTTTCATCACATTTGAGTATCCATTTTTTACAGTGATCTTCTCACTAAAACTTAATGGGTAGAAAGGGTACAGACCCGTCAATTTTCATTAAAAGAAAAAATTCAATTTGCTTACAGTATAAAAAATTCCCAACAAAACTGACACCGAACGTGCTGGAACTTTTTACCAAAAGATTCATTCTTACCGGAACTTGTAACGGAACAAAAAATTTTATATATTAAAATTTTTACAGTAATAATTACCATAAAAGTACTGAATCACTCTAATTAAATAAATATTACTGTAAAAATTACAATATAATACTTTACTGCAAAAAAAAATTTACTTGACTGCCATTTTTAATTACCTTCATTTAAAAAAATGGGTTCATCCGGTAAATAGTTTTGTTTAAGTAGTCACGACAGCTTGAAAGTTTTGATTTGAGTAAAATACATACATAAAATTACTTATTCTGACTTGTTAACACGAGTCGTAGAGGTAAAAACAGCATCAATGGTGAATATTTAAAACCATGAACAAAGTACTATTGACAGAGAGTTTGAATAAAAACTCTCTCTCTCTCTCTCTCTCTCTATATATATATAT